AACCATGAAGCAGGATTATGTGGACTATTGGATTTATGCATTCAGTTAGTTTCATTCACAAGAATGGCTTATTACTTGCTCACTCGGCAACACCCTGGGAGCATTTTGATTCTACAGGTACTAGAAGCTGGGAGTGAGTCTACCATGGTCATGTCATTGAGCGAATGGAGGCAGCTTCACCTGATGCCGTTGAATGTAATGAACTTAGTTGATAACTTACCGCAGTCCTCGATCCGTCTGCCGGAGTTGGTGTACAGAGCCTTAAGGAGGGTTAATAATCTATGGGGACACCTCTGCTTCACATACGCTACCATGATGCCCGCTGACCAGCAGAGTCAGTGGTGACTTTCAAATCGAGAATGGTAGTCAATTTTGGTTTCTGGAAACAGTGGAAGAGACTGAAAGCCATTTGTAACTCGTCTTGCTTGGTTTCCTCCGATTCTTCTCTCTGCGTTCAGTCAACCTTCGGAAAATACAGTCAGAGAGCCCCTTCTATGTCACTGTTGTCAGTCCAATGTCAGGATGGTTTTCGCAGTGTTCAAGTGCTCTTTTTGAAGATGGCGACGTCCGTTTATGTGTCTAATTCTGAGGATACTTTCTGTTCTACACATATGCAACCAACAATTTTTCTCAGGTGGGTAGCTCCAGAAACCTTACCCCTCGATCCGTCCGCTCCTGCTGCCCCTCGCATCTCAAACGGGATATTTGACTCCGTATTTCTCGTGGCACTCCGTTGACCTCTGTGCACAGTCCTTGAGGGTATGTTACAGGAGGCCAGCTAAGCTCTTAAAGTTTTCTCGTCTACTTGCTGGGCCTGACGGGAGGCGTATTTCCAGGCGTGTTCGCACTGCGACGTCAAAACAGGTTGTGTGTCCTGAAATTGGTGGTAGCCTTGAATTCTTGTCTTTCATCGGTGGCTTATAGCTTCGTGATCCGAATGTATCTGTTGTATCTCTTCACCTGTTCTGACGCTACTGGGTTATAGTCAGAAGACAAGAAGGTGACCAGAAGGAACTGTGTGTTAACGCAATTACAAACTTCTATATATATGATTCACTTGTCACCGTATTTGATGGTCGATCCGCTTTCAACCGCCCAATGTGTCTCCCACACGCCCACACCGGTTCTCGGGCGGTTGTTCCTTTGTCTCGGTTGATCATAGATGGCCGTCTGTGCGTTTGTGTACGGGCCATGGAGTGGGTGTGAACTTTCTGTGTCCCTTTTTGACCTTTCTCCGGCACATGATGAAGTCGGACAATATTCAGACGTATAGGCGTAATAACATGGCTCCGTTTCACATGATTGTTCCGCTGCGCAGTAGGCTGATGCGCTGACGTATTAGTATCCACGGTCGATGTGTATTTTCTGACCGCCGGGTCACATAAAGCTGTGACAGACAGAAGCAGCGATGCCTCAACACTGATCACTAACATCAGTCTTGTGAAACAAGACAGGACGAGCGATAGGCGAGCTAATGTCTCATTCAAGATTTTAGCGTTTTCTTAACAGACTTACGGGTTGCAGAGACATCCTAGTGACTACTGGACTTGATGGTAGGACCTGTCCTGTAGCACTATTTCGATGCCCAACTGCCATGCTACCAGAAGGAAGTTCGAGAGCTGGGACATTGTAAAGTTGCCCAAGCCTATGCAGGGGAAATCGAGAGGCGGAGGTCGGGCTCGAGCCACGGACCTTCCGGTCGGTAGATTCGCGCTGTTGCCACTGAGCCATCTCGCCGCCTCCCATATGAAGACAAGTAAGTTGGACAGGCGCCAGTCGAGGGTTTCACCCCTACGTTTAAGTAGTGCGAGTGATGTTTCGACAAAACCAGAAGCTGGCCGGTATTTTAGGTAAAATATACACGCACGTATTTTCGGCGCCTTAAGTGGTCCAGAGTTCACTGTTGATGACTCCACTTTAGGTCTGACCGTACTGGATTCCTCGTATAATGGACCAACCGTGATACTTCGAGCATTGTTGGAGTCTCTCTAAGCCACAGTGCTTAGGTGTAGTGTGTTACATTGTACAATAGGCGGAATGCCCAATATCTTATCGGGATGGGGTGTTACTTTTCAGCGCATCACAATCAGGAAATGGGTTGATCTAAATGAATTTCTGTGGGTGGTTTTAGTGAGTTTCTTTTGCGGTGACCGACGAAACGCACGCCCGCTTACTTGACCCCAGAAACCGAAAAAAACGCAGCAACGGATTGGAATTCACCTCGATGTTCCAGAGTGAGCGGTAGTCGGTAATTGAACCATGTGACCTATTTGCTTTTGCGTTTAGCTTGCATGTGGGGCACATGTAACCAGGCTGTTTCCAAAGCTAATATGGAAAAATTCCGACCAGTGGTAACTGCTACAGGTCCACCATCTGTGTGTCCAGTTTCTAGACCAAGATGGCAACCAAATCAAGCTTCAGGAGCACTAAGTTTAATTATTACTGTACCGCCAACGAACAAAAGGCCCGATCTCGGCTCAATGAGGCACATCAAGTGTTTTCAACCAATTGAAAAGTATCGTACAAACCATCTTTGAGAGCGCCTCAGCTACTGTCTGTTTTGGCATGAGCAGTCATTGCGATCATCAGCACCTTTACGTGATGCTTTCACAGACATCGCCAACCTAACCAAAATTAACTCCACATAGGCGATTGTTAACTTGTTATCAACCAAGCAAAGATCATTTATCTGAATTACCTAGAACATCATTCTGGGCAAGGCCTGTGGCGGTTGCCATTGGACCATCTGTGGTGCGCAACCGGAAGCGGGAAGCCGACGGGGGAGCCCAGTTCTGCAACCATACGTGGTTCTCAGATCCCTTTTTCAAACAGACCGCATACGCCGAAGGAACTTGATTCCTGTATGCAAGTCGGAATGACTTTCTATCCAGTATTTTTTTAGAATGCGAACATTAAAGATTGGCAGATCAACTGAGCACCGAAGTTTAAAGAGTGTAATATGGGTATTTTCTCAGCTTGGTCCTCGGTCTGATCCTTCCGAATTAGCGTTCCCGTCAAAGGTGCACAATGTGTCTTCGCCCCTTAAAACAGGTCAAAAACACATGTAGGGTACGTCGTTTTTAACCTGTATGCGATGACAACATTCTTGAAACTTTGAAAAAAATCGTTCAGCTGTAACACCCTTTCGATGCCTAGCTGCCATGTCACCCGAAGGGAGCGCGAGGGCTGGGATACTGCCAGGTTGCCCAAGCCTAAACAGGAGGAAACTGATGTCTTTTGGACACTTCGTTGTCAACCGGCATTCGGAAAATACGAGATCATGTTTGGCTTTTGGGTCCAGAGTTTCTACCAATCATAGCTCGCCCTGTTGCTGAACTGGCAGGTGGTCCGATATTTTCGCCAATCGCGTTTAAGATAGACCTCTTGGTCGTAGCAACGCATGAATGCAACCGGTAAAGGAGCGTTGGTGCAAAATACCGGTTAACAAGGGGTGATTTCGAAGTGTTTACGATTCTGGTGCCCGGTTTATACATCGGTGTATCACCGAAGGATCGCTGGGACTGAACGGAGCTGTCCGTCCTTACGGGGCAACCACTAGCTCAGTATCAGGAGGAAGAATGTGTAATTGGAAGAAACATAGCAGCAGCATGTTTTCACCTAACCGTCCTACTCTGTGAGTGATGAATAGGACGACCTGGCTGCCGTCACCACGTGGCTGAGCATGTCTTCGGATACTATCAGGGTACCCAGATCTGTGTAGGAGGCTGACCGTAGTCCCCAGACAAGCCTTTGGCTCGAAAACCTTACCTTAAGGCAACAGTGGTTGGCTTGGGGCGACGACAACAGTCGCCACCCATTTTCTAACCTCCGAACCTGCTTGCTGATTGACCAACTTAATAGAAGAGGCTCTGCATCGAATATGTACTCAGTGCGACTCATTGTTGCAGGGAGGTACAGGCGGTATCGTGCACCGGGGAAGGAACATATCTATATACAGTTGCCCATTTGGTCTAGTACAAGCTGTATGTCGCACTACCCATCCTGCGCGGTGTTCGGTCATCGGCCGACAAATTCGGAAATGGATACCGATCATTCTTGACTGTTTAGACGTAGCCTGATGGCACTTCCTTACCATATATCAGCTGTTATGCCTAACCTGCCTTCAGATGGTGAATCAAGTTGAGTGATAATTGCTCACCCTCGAATCTTTCAGTTGCTACAGATTCAACATCGTGTATTCTGCTGCAAGGTTATCCACCAGTTCGAATGTAACGGCGTACAGATCTCATTGCAAAATCTTGGTCTGTATACACAGTGCTGCCCCACTAAATCCCTGGCAATCCACGTGAACTTTTCACTCGTCAACGGAGCCGACGATGTCGAGTTTATGTGACCTGGCTGACTTCACCAAGTGCAACAATTGACACGTGACGAGGAAACCTAGAGTGTTACTCGTTCAAGTCTGAGCACATGCCTACAACCCATAGATGTCTTGAATTCCACTAATCACGGCCCTAACGGGCTTTCGCTCCATCTTGCTTAGACTGTTACTCCAATCAATACTGCCTGAAAGGCACAATTACTTGGTGTTCCAAATCTTAAATTCGCTGGTCAGCATTTAATGTTTTTTTTTACTGTGAACAGCTATAGAGTCACTACCTCCAAGTGACTCCCGCTCGACATGACTGAACGAAGTAGGGTATGTGAGACAGGTGTTCCGTTGAAATGCGTAGTACCTGTCCCAGCGTAGCCTGTACGGTCTTACTAGCTTATCTGTCATGGGCCAGCTTCATCCAAAAGCCTCGGTGGCTTGATGCCCCCAACAGGCTCTGACGATCCTTTGGAGACACTGATGTGATCAAGCACGGACGTTGTACCGCGAGTGGCTAACGGTTGCGCTGTAACAGGGATTCGATTGGACTTTTTTCATTTGGTCGGCTTTTTGTTCTTTTAGTAGTCAGAAAGTTTCCTCCGTCCACCACCAATTGATCCCTACTAACTTGTTCTTTCTCCACCCAACCCTCTCCCACTGTTTCTAGCTTCGCTCAGCGGCGCCTGTTGCCATTGGCCATTCAAATATTGCCCTTCCGGTCCGCCCCCTAAACCCCACAGGTAGATTATAATTTCACTCATCAACAAGACCTTCAATTCACCCTCTCATGCTATAGGTTTACCGGGTTCGCTAGCAACTCTTCGCCCTACTGTGGCGCGGCCAGTGACAGAGCGTCCACAACTTCATCCAACCATTCAGTCGTCGACTCAGGTTCAGCGCATGCAACCCCAACACACCACAATCATGCACGGAAATCTTGTGGGTAATGTCCCCGGTGTTGTTGGTGTCAGCGCACCAGCCGGTGCTCAAGTCCATATGCAACCGCCTCGAGCAGGGATTCCCACTGCTATCCAGTCGGGGACCGCGCCACAAATTGCTGCCCTTCCATCTGGATTGACTGGTTAGTTCCGTATGTGTGTACTTATGCAGGGTAGCGCGCCTCCCCCAGGCTCGCGTTATATTCTACACTACTTTTCAAAAAATCTGTCATCATTTATGCGACTCCAGACACACACTTTCTCGGAAAACTAGTATCCCCATGAGAATTTGGGAGAATATTGTCCGCCCAACTGGAATTTCCTGGGTTTTGAAAACTCTGTTTGATCTATTAGTTTGGTGAGTTTTCTAATGATGAACTAAGCAGTCGACCTAATTGACTGCCTGTTGATCGCATCGGTCAGTTCCTGCTGGAATTCACCAACTCAGACACACCATCTGACTCAAAACTGTACTCACTAAGCCAGCCCATCTAATCAATGAATCAGACGAGACAGGCCATATTTCTCGCAAGAATTGGTGGCGTTATGTACAGCTCATTCAAGACTACGGCATCTCAGACCTCGATTTTGTCACTCCGTCCTAACCAACCCTTTCTTTTCGCCCCGTATTACAAGTTTTTGACGGCTTTTGTTTGTTTTTCCAGGTCATCTCGTTCAGATTGGTCAACAAACCTACCTAGTTCCTCAAACTTTAGTCGGACTGCGACAACCAACCGGGACTTCACAACTTTCCATTCCCCACTTTGTTGGTGCTCCTGGTCCCACAGCAACCACCCTGGCAACATCGGTCGCCACTGATCATTCAAGCTTCCCACAGGTAAGCAGCTCACTTACCTTTGTCATGGACTGTTATCAAACTTTTCGTTTTTCTCACACTGCATCTCTGTTCTCTTGCTGTACAAGAAAAGTGCCAGGTCATCCTATCCAGTGTTCCGGGGGCGGGGGTTGGTCTGTGTAGGTAATTCTCAGGAACAACAATTATTCTGAGTTGTAGATCGTAGCAGAGGAATCATCCTTTCAAAGAAAACGGAGGTGACTCACATTCTTCTACAGTTTAGATTTCATTGTTGTGTTGTAACAATGAAATCTAAACTGTGGCGTCACTTGTGCTTCGTCGCCTTACAGTGGAGACACTGACTCCAGAGCAGCAAGCGGGATTCCGGCCTGGTAGGAGTTGCGTTGACCAAATCTTCACACTTCATCAGGTGCTAGAACAACGCCATACGTACAAGCGACCCCCAATTCTAGTATTCCTGGATTTCCAAGGTGCTTTTGGCTCGGTCGACCGGTCTGTTCTGCTTGACACTCTTGCCCACCAAGGAATGCCCAGACTTTCGGGCGTTTGAGAGTATACGGTGGGCTCTCCAAAAGCTTCTGTACACAAAGTGGTGTTAGTCAGGGATGCTCACTCTCCCCATTCCTGTTTAACTTTTTGATCGATGAAATCATGAGAAGAACACTAGAAGGTCTCCAAAACCCCGGTGTGACGAAAACATTGTCTATCTGGAATATGCAGACGACATTGTTCCCATGTTCGAAGAGGAGGAGAAGGCGCAGGTGTTTTTGAATGAACTGTCCTTTGGTATGTACTATGCACCCACAAAGTGTAAGGTCATGCTTCTGGGCATACAGTCACTGAACACACCACTTACAATCCAGGGAGAGGTACTGGAAGTTGTAGAGCGTTTTACCTATCTTGGAAGTTGTATTAGTTTTGATTGTAGTGTGACAGATGAGGTGAATGCACGACACTTTGTATACTGAACTGTTTCCCCTCTGGCGTCAATGTCTATTCCACGCCTTTGAGGTTGCGATATCACTATAATTTATGAACTTTTGAATTCAATCGTTTCCAGTATGATCCCGGCGAATCCGTAACGAGGCAGTTAGAAAGCGTGTTTTCGGTTGTGTAACGAGTACTTCCATTGAAGAATGTGTCCAGCACCAGAAGCTGCGTTGGTTGGGACATGTGTTACATATGTCGAACCAACGATTGCCGAAGAGAGTGCTGTTTTCCATGCCCAATTCAGAGTGGCGGAAGCAAAGGGGTGACCAACCCTTGACTTGTCAGAGGGGTATGAAGGAGATCACGAAACGCTTGGGTGCAGTCGGTGCTACTCGCCTTCCAGGATGGGGACCGCGTGATTCTCACTGTGCCTGGTTGGAGACACTACAAGATATGGCTGCCAACCGATGTCAGTGGCGTTCTTGTTGTCAGCTTCTATCCAGATTGCCTGAGTGAATGTCTGGAGGTGTAGGCATGTCTTAATGATTGTAGTAAGCTAATGCTATGCCCCTTCTCCGTCTGCTTTTATTCTTTCTACACAATAAGGCTTCCAAATAAATCATAGTTGTACGGCAGCGAAGCAGCGGTGTTGAACATTGATGTGATGCTGTCGATGATGATGATGGTGATCAAATTTCACTTATCAGGGATTGAGCCGGTTAGACCTCCTTTCCAGCATGTCCGTTAGGAACGTGATCCGCATCTGGACAGCGATTCAGTTTTCCAAAACATTATCCTGAAAACAATTGAGTTTACACTTTATACCCGTCGTTGGCCTTTAGATTCACGCATAAGTGCCATTGAAGAAAGATTGCCCGATTGAGGAGTTACTCTTATGACAATCTCTCAGCTGTGAGGTCTTCTCGCTTCTATACCACCCGAAGCAAGCACGTACGTCGAGTTAGTGCCAGGCAAACCAACAGAAGCATTCGAGATGCCGGGGTCGGTTTCGAAAGACGGACTTTCCGGTGAACAAGCTCTCTCAGCCACTGGGACATCTCATACGATAATAAAACATGTGCGATGACGTAGGTACCAAAGGAACTTTATGGACCTGTTTGTTCCGAGAGTTACGCTGAATTCCCGTTTTTTGGTCCGTTTTGCCGAGCGAGATGTTCCAAGTGATTAGAGCGCGAATTTACTGACCGGAAGATCCGTGGTTCGAACCCGACCTCTGCCTCTCGACTCCCTCTCTCTAGGTTGGGGCAACCTGACAGTATCCCAGCCCTCGTGCTTCCTTCGGGTACCGGAAGGGTACTACAGCTGAACGATTTTTTTGCCGAGCTTGGCATCAAGATTCGCGTCGTCAGTACACTAATGATATCATCTCGATAGGTGATGAAATGCTTGCAGTGCGACCGACTGCCATGTTTGGCGAACAAAACAACCAAACTGCACACTCAGTTGTCCTGAGAGGATACGTGTGCCTCTGCAACTTGGTTATCCGTACTCTCAGGCCTTTTTACCTAAATGTTTCATCTGCATAGGGTTTTGTACGATTTGGACGTCCAAACATAGAGTGTTTTTCTGTCCACCGTGCCGGCTGGACGCCATGTCGCTAAAGTATGGGTTATTTTTGTAGTGAAACAGTAATTGCTACATTATGCCAATCATTGAAACTTTCTGAATCTCTCTGACCTCTCTCGAAAGACCCAGGTGGATGGTGGTCACGACTCTGAGGAGAGCAAATACTGCGATACCCCTAGTTCTCATCATCCCACCCCTGGAGGTGTCGGCCAACATTCGGGTCAGCCAGGTACAGACCGTTCGGTGCATCCCTCAGACCTAGAAGATGATGATGACGAAGATGATGATGATTTCGTTGCTGCCACACCCGGATTCACTCCTTCTTCTGTTCGTTCCCACTATCCCCCACACTCCCGTGACATAATTTCTGCCAGTGGTCCACGTCGTGAATCAATGAATACTGGAACAACCATGAACAGTGGTCCGTCCACTCCTGCGACCCCACTTTCAGTCGCTCCGCGTACTCCATTCGACGGAACCCCTGGATGGCGGCGCCCGGGTCGAAATACTCCGGGTGATCGTAGTTCGGGAACTCCGGCTCATAAACGTCGTCGACGGTCATCCTATCAAGGAGCTGACACGGACACGGAAGTAGATGACTATGAGGAAGATGAAGATGGCTCCGATGTCGGAGAAGAAGTGGAACTTATGACCAATGTTACTATGACGCCGGCTGCTCATGGGTAAGATACTCTGAATTCCCACGATTTATTATAATTATATACTTCAACTTCATTGTAGAGCGTTACACCTCACAAAACAATCGGCGTGAAGCGCACCAGAAGCATGTATCTGTAGTTGACAGTGTACGGAACTACCGACAGCTCAGGCGCGTCCGCTAGTTGCTGATCCGATGGCTGTTGACATGTTCGTCGGGTTTGGTGATTATCTAGCAAACGGTTCGTTACTACTCGAGGTGACTTCTTCAGTACACTAGCCGGGCGAACGGATCAACAGACACTTGATAAGCAGCATGGGTTCGAGATGGTTCGATGGTTAGAGCGCGAATTTACTGGCCGGAAGGTCCGCGGTTCGAACTCGACCTCTGCTTCCCGACTTACCCTGTCAACACGGCAGCATCCCAGCCCTCGTGCTTTTTTTGGTTGGCATGGCAGCTAGGCACCGAACTGATATTACAGCTGAGCGATAATCCTTATCGCACTTCTACGGGGATGAGGGACTCGAACGTCAGGACACTTCGTGTAAACAGTACAACTAGAAAGAGAACACCATAACGAAGCCGAACTGTAAACGAAACTAGTTCATCAATGCATTCCAAAACTCATTCTTTTCCACCCGGAAAATTAGAATAAATTCTGTAGACTCACCGATGGTAGCACCTCGGACGACAGCGTAGACTGTCTGCCACCTCGCTTTTTGCTGGTAATGGAACGAACAACTAGGCATCATTTTTTGTAACTCCCTCCGCTGGTTCATTTTCAGTGGGGAATTGGAGGAAGAAGACGATGGCCATGCGATCAAGCCTCGTCGACGTGCCAAACGATCCGATGCCAACGCCCGTCAGGCGCATTTGGATGCTAACCGTCTGGCGTCGGACAATCTCCTGTCACCGGGCTCACTCTTGGGCGACGCTCCCCCTGAACCACCGGAACCCGTTGGAGACAGTAGCTTACCACATGGTGATGAAGATGAGGAGGAAGAGGAAGAGGAGGATGAACCAGTGACGAAGAACCGGAGGTGCTGTTCGAATCCGACAATGTAGTCGTATGTCAGTACGACAAGGTGAGTTCGGTTTCCCTTCATAGATTAATATCTGTTTGAAACTAATGCCCCAGATGATTAAGATGCATGCTCATGAGAACGTCCTTTACAGTAAAGTCCGCGTGTCTCATGTGTCCCTTTAGTAAACGCCAAATTCTCACGATTGGTCTTACTGGACCTTGATATTAGTGGGACAAACGACTCCCATGTATTGTGGGAACAGGGAAGCGCCAAAAACGTACAAGTAGTGCATGGCATATTCCGAATAAGCATTGGGCAAAGTCAATAACACTTACTCGCCAGTAAGATCGCTTAGCTGGTACTGGACTGGTGGTAGGTTGATTGGCAACAGGGTGCGACCGAAATTCTGCTTGGTCGATGGACGCGTGGACTTCACCCATTGGCCAAACGTGAACTGAACAGTTGGCACAAACGAAACTGATGTAGTTTTGAGTGTGCATTTCCTGGTTACTCTGACTACTACTATTTTTAATGGCTGATTGGTCGGGCTTCCTGTAGACACCTTTCTGAGCTCCTATTCGTAAGTCTGTGTACTGACCAGCTCTCTTCAAATGTAGATTGAGACACGTTTCATTCTAAACTCTGATTGCGCTCTTTGACGGATCCAGGGTTTCTATAGAGCATTCACGAGTATCTCACTACCTTTTGCGCATTTGCGCTGTCTTCTTTCCATTTTTACCTAATTCGTTCCGATTCGTTTGACCAATGGTGATATTCTGTCGTCAGATAACTCATTGGGTGAGATGGCCCAAGTGGCTAGAGCGCGAATTTACTGACCGGAAAGTCCGTGGCTCGAAACCGACCTTTGCCTCTCGGATTCCCCTGTCTAGGCTTGGGCAACCTGACAGTATCCCAGCCCTCGTGCCTCCTTCGGGTGGCATGGCAGTCAGGTACCGAAAGGGTGCCACAGCTGAACTATTTTTTTCGGCTTTTCTGATGAGCCTGTTCTAACTATCCAACGCTATTCCATGTTTCCCAACAATGTGGTGCGAGAATAAGCTTAGAAACTCATTTTCGTTTGTTGATCGATGTTCTTTGGTTTATAATTCAGTCATTTGGTAGTTCTCCGCATAAACCAGGCTTTTCTTGATGCTCGGGAGAATGCAGAAGGCAGAAGAGCTCAGTTTTTCGTGACTTGATGTGGGTGACGTTCTGGCACGTAAACCCTGGTGCCTACTACAAATTTAACAGTAGTTGCTCGCAGAAGAGGTGCCACAACTGCTGGCCTTGAATCCACCAGTTGCTTACGTAGGAACCGTACACAGTCAAGTCCCACCCGTAACACCCTAATAAGTCGTGTTTATCGTTGGAACAGATTTTTACATTTGAACTGAAATTTTAACATCGACAATGCGTTATTCGGGGTTCAAAATACCTTATGATAGCCAATCTCCGTTAGCATTTACTTTCAAAACCATGTTTAGAGGTAGGAAAACCTGAGGTTCATTTTGGCGTCTTACATTTACCTTTCATCAGTGAATGTTCCACTGGCACTTTTTACTTTTCGGCTTCCTCTTGTGCTTCCAAATTATTGAACTAAAACAACAGACGATACCCACTGTTTTTTTCCGTAGCAAATTACACCAATTTACGTTTCCCGGTAATCCGACTGTCTTTGAAAATCACGTGGAAGCTATCTCTAGATTACTCGCGATTACCACACTGTCTGTGTGCCGCAATACTAAAAAATCTGACCAAGGTCGGACCAGTTCTTCGACTTGCGCACAAAGTGCAGGTCATGCTTCAAGACGTGGAGCCTTTGAACATGCCTTTAAGAATTCAATGCAATTGAACGTTGTGGAACTCTTAAGATGTATCGCGGAAGTTCCATTAGCTCTGACGGCAGACAAAGTGAACGCGCGAATCTGAAAGGTCGAAACTGGCGTCGATAATTGGATCACCTGGGGGCATTGAAAAGGCGTATTATTGGGCCTCCAACGACGGGTGTGCCAAACCACAGTACAGACTATTGTTATACGGCTGGTCGTTCAGCTGTATCAACCTTTCGGTGCCTAGCTGCCATGCCACCAGAAGGAAACACGAGGGCTGGGATACTGCCAGGTTGCCCAAGCCTAGACAGGAGAAGTCAACAGGCAGAGGTCGGGTTCGAACCACGGACCTTGAGGTCAGTAAATTCGCGCTCTAACCACTTGGTCCATCTCGCTGGTCACTTTCGGTGGAGTACATGAGGCATGAGGTGTTTGACCACCGATGTCTTAGATTGGCTGGGGCGAACGAATTCGGGATGAGATGACTAGGAAACGGTTTCTTTTTTGGTGAAACAGACGGTACTTCAGTCGAAGAATGCATCCAGCACTGGAAGTTAAGTTAATTGGGCCATATGTCATACATGTCGAGTTACTGCCTACTGAGACGTGCACTGTGCCCCGGACAGAAACTGAAATGACAAAAGGGTGTGAAGTATGTCGCGAGGATTTTTGGTCCCTTTGGTTCTGTTTACCTTCCAGGATGAGTTCTACGTACCCCTTCGTATGATTTGCTGGAGACACTAGAAGATATGTTAGCTAACGGGCGAGATGGCTCAAGTGGTTAGGGGGCGAATTTACTGACCGGAAGTTCCGTGGTTCGAACCCGACCTCTGCCTCTCGACTTCCCCTGTCTAGGCTTGGGCAACCTGCAGTATCCCAGCCCTTGTGCTTCCTTCAGGTAGGCACCGAAAGGGTGTTATAGCTGACTGAACGATGGTAGCTAACTGATGTCAGTGGCGTTTTGTCCAGATTGTTGGGGGTTTAGGTATCTCGGTTGTTTGTAGTGGGCTAGCCGTAGGTCCCTTTGCCACATTTATCCCTTCATTCCATTGTGAGGCTTTATTGAAATAAACTGACATGCTTGTACGGCAGTGAAATGCCAGTGTTGTCATCTGTTGTCAATGATGATAATTTACTGCATCAAATCATTGTCCAGCGTGGCGCAGTTCATTTGGGGCATTCCTAGGCTCGGTTACTCGGTACACCATTCTGAACGTGGCAATAAAGCCCGTCTACATATTTCATTAGGCACTTTCAAAGGAAAGGGGTTGGTCCCTGGTGCCCCGTTCCGCCTGCTATTTAGAAGGCTTCGAACTCCAGACTGCTGGCTGAGTCGCAATGGGAGAAAAACGTAAAGTACCAACCACTTCTGTCCTAGAGGCGCCACCAGTGCCACCATGACATGTCTTCAAGGAGAAAGTTCTTCGAGAAAGTTCTCCAGCAACTTTTGAAGCTTGTGTTCAAGGAAACACAGCCACTTGAGGTCGCAGAAAACTGGAAGTCCCACCAAAAGTCTCCCAGGTTTGTTTGTTATCTCCCAAACAACTGACTAGTTAGCCCCGTTGATTCTACGGTCCTCAGTTCAACTGTGATAACGTGATCACATGACCATTAACCATGTTTTATTGCACCAACAGATTCACCGTTCACGAAATCGATGGCGATTCCATCTGAAAGACGGTATAATGGCTATCAATGGACGTGACCATGTGTTTCAGAAAGCCGTTGGCGAAGCTGAGTGGTAGTTGCATACGCATCTGTGACGTGCAACCTCTTCACTTTACTCTCCGACTCTGCGCTCTGTTGTCCTTCATTCCGCGTGCTGTTTGCCGCAACTGTTCTTTCCTACCTGTTTTTGAATGCACTCTGATAGTGGTGAGGTTTTACGGGGCGTATTTTGTAAACTTTCGTCCACTCAGCTTACTCCGGTCCCAGCACCGGCTGACCGCAGATGCCTGTGTCCTGAATCCAATCCGCCCAATTACGACACCCCTTTTTTGTTATCCTTATTGTCATCTTGTGAATTTTCCGAGCTATCTTGTACAAACGCTCTGATTCACGATCACTACTCACATGTATGCTGTTTGTAAGTGTTTTCCCATTTCTTGACTGGCCGAGAAAAGCTATTCCAAACAAATAGTGATCCTTATTTACTCGTTTTTTCGCGTGGGTTTATTCATCTGTTGTGGTGGCTTGATTCTGTTCGTGCCCAGGATTTGCGGATTCCTCGATAGTTATCAGTTCTGAAACCATCTCGCTCGATTAGGAAGGAATCAGGGTTCAGTCTCTATTCATCGGTAGTGTAACATTAATACGAAAGCCATGTTCATACTTCGTTTCATTCGTCTGTCTGTGCTCCCTTCCCCCTAAATGGTTCTGACAGTAAAAACGAGTAGAAACCGCCCCTTATTTAACGTGTATGCGGCGAGATGGCCCATGTGTTTAGAGCGCGGATTTACTGACCGAAAGGTCCGTGGTTCGAATCCGGCCTCCGCGTCTTGACTTTCCCTGTCTAGACTTGGGCAACTTGGCAGTATCCCAATTCTCGTGCAACCTTCGGCTGGCATGGCAGTTAGGCACCGAAAGGGTGATACAGCTGAACTATCTCTAGTATGCGGCGATAATGTGTCGGAAGATATCCTGGACAGCGGTGTACATTGATTTATTACGGGTTGTTGAATCCCTCACTCCGGATTGACTGCAGCAGTCGGTTGGTTTGACGGGTCACGTGCAAGTTTGCTGTTGTGCGATCACACGGTTCGGGTGTACTATTCCACCCCACTCGACATGCTTGAAGTGCAGAGTCATGCGTCCCAAGTCGAATAGTAATGATAATAATTGTTCAGCTTCAATACCCTCTCGGAGCGTAGCTGCCACGCTACCCGCTGAGATTCTGCCAAGTTGCCCAAGCATAGACAAGAGCAATCGAGATGCTGTGGTTGGGTTCGAAACACGGATTTGTTTGTCATTATCAGTAAGTCAGCGTTTTGACCACTGCGCTGCCTCGAACTCATTTGCGAGAGAAATGTTCGGTCGTAATGACTCCACTGGCTTTCGAAGCCCATCCATCCACAATGCAGCAGGTGAAATCAACTCAGTACAACTACAATTACGGGTATATTCGTACCTGACTCGTTGTGTTCGGAGGGCAATACCTTTAGGCTTATTTGGTCGGGTCTACACTGC